TTCTGCCTCTCTCTTCGGTTGAGTCTCCCAAGCGGCGACCAGAGAGAGCGAGCGAGACGGAGCGTACAGCGCCGTTCGCACGCAGCTTGCTGTCGCGCTGACAGAGGACTGGAATTAGTGGCAAGGTGCTCTGCTCGCTCTGCGCGCTCTGCTGCTGTGTTATTCCGAGTAAAAATCATGTCCAAGGGAAACTGGAGGCGAGGTAGCCCTACAATGGCACTGGCTTCACGGCACCGAGTCGCCCGGAGGAATCAGGAGGAATCTGAAGGACCTTTCCTTTCCCAGTGGCGAGGCGGCGAGGCGGCCAGGCGACTAGGCGGCGGGCACCTTGGCCCAGCTGCCGGCCGCTTTGCACGCCCCGTCCACAGCCTGGTCCACGGCCTGGTCCGCCCGCAGGCGAGCGCGCTCCACAAAGAAGACACTTTCAAGTTCACTTTCATTTGGCCAGAAAACATCTGCCGCCAAATAGAAATGGGGGAGCTGGCTTGGCTCGCCAGATGAAGGCCGGGCCGGGCTCGGCCGGGCTGGTCAGCGCACAGTGGGCCAGAAGACCGGTGGAGGCGGCCAAAAAAACTCTAGACGCGTTTTGAGCTAGAGTCGCTAAATGGGACTCGAACCGAGCGTGTGACCGACCCCACCAATGGATTCCTTGTTCGGAGAGCAATCCATTGGTGGGGTCACACGTTCGGTTCGAGTCCCATTTAGCGACTCTGGTGCTCAAAACGCGTCTAGAGTTTTGTCCGCCTCCACCGGTCTTCTGGCCCACTGTGCAGCGGCCACGCCGCCATCGGCACAAGCAGGCGACCAATGACAGGCCGAGGGGCTAGCGCAGCCTGGCGGGCCCATTAGCGACGACCTCGGCGAAAGGTCGAGATGAAAGCGAAGACTATCTGATGCAGCAAAAGGGAATGCACGAAATCAAAAGCCACAAAAAAAGACAGACTGCTAGTCTGACCCAGATTTGGCCGCGTTCAACCGCCCCCCGAGCCTTGCACCCTACACGTCGCTAACGCCTTTTTACAGCCGAGACGCAATTCACAGCTTTACTACACGACGGGCTACATGGGCCGAGGGAGCGCCGGGGAAGGCGAGGCGGGCCTGGAGGGGAGCCCTGCCGTGTACACCGCCCGCCAGGCAGCCAGGCAGGCAGGGCTGGCAGCCAGGCAGGCAGCCAGGCAGGCAGGGCTGGCAGCCCGGGACGATGCGATGGATGGCCAAACTGACAAGTCTCCCCTGAGCAGAACGGCGAGCGCAGCTCACACTTCTTTCTTCAAAGTCTCATTGGAACAAATGCTCGTGGGGCGAACGAACACCGCACTGGCCTCTTTCTCTCTCTCTCCTCCAGTCCACACGCTCCTAAGGTGAGAAAGGGGCAGGTCGCTCTTTGCAGTGTGTACACAGTGTGCGCAACACGCACAGACACGCCGCGGACGCGGAGGGCGCGGGTCGGGGTGGAAGGACGAGTATCCCACACCAACAAAATCGCTTCAAGTCCGCATTCGTCCGATACAATGTCAAGTTCGTCGTTTCTGTTTCCTCTCCCCCCCCTTCTGAGTGTGTGAGACCGGAAGCAGTTGACAGTGAAGCCGTTCCCCAGTGCAGGCCGCGCCGGTCCCCCTTGTGGCTGCATCACGAGAATGTGTGCACACTATGTGGCAAGTGCTGCTGCTGCCTCTGGTGGTGGTGGTTGTGTGGATATAAGCCGACTGGGGAGCAAAAAGACGAGCCCGCCTGGCTGCTCCATTCCGAGAGCCACCCGCGGCACCCCGCGGCACCCCACCACCAACAGCAACAACAGCCACAGAAAACAAACACCCCGCACTGCCTCGTACGCACACAGTACGGGGTAGGCCATCTCTGAGACGTGGCAGGTCTGGACATCGGGACGGGTCGGTGATGTCTGTCTGTCCGTCTGCCGGCCCAGACTGTCTGTCTGTCTGTCTGTCTGTCTGTCTGTCTGTCTGTCTGTCTCTCTGTCTGTCTGTCTGTCTGTCTGTCTGTCTGTCTGTCTGACTGTCTGTCTGTCTGTGATTCGGTCTGTCTGTGATTCGGTCTGTCTGTGATTCGGTCTGTCTGACGGCCTAGACGGTCTGCCCTAGTGATAAAACCGACGCGAAGATGTCCTTTTTGGTCGTTCGTTTGGGATTGCGCGGGCGGGTACTTAAAATTAGTGCTTAGGGAGGGATTCTCCTCAGAGTGAGGTAGAGGCAGAAGGAGAGAAGAAAAGAGGGAGCGGAGGACACAGATATGCCCAGGGAAGAGAGAGAGAGAGAGAGAGAGAGAGAGAGAGAGAGAGAGAGAGAGAGAGAGAGAGAGAGAGAGAGAGAGAGAGAGAGAGAGAGAGAGAGAGAGAGAGTCTCCCATTTCCGTTGCCACGCGGGCTGCACGGCCTGCGCCGCCTGCGGAACCGCGCGTAGACTCGCCCGTAACGCATCGACGTGGAGCGTGTTGCCTACCCTCTGCATCGCAGGCGCTCTCCCTCACTTCTGTCTGTCTGTCTGTCTGTCTGTCTGTCTGTCTGTCTGTCTGTCTGTCTGTCTGTCTGTCTGTCTGTCTGTCTGTCGGTGTGTCTGTCTGTCTGTCTGTCTGTCTGTCTGTCTGTCTGTCTGTCCCTCTCTCGTCGCCGTCTGCGCCTCGAAGCAGCAAAAGTAGGCGACGGCCTTTCCTTGTTTCACCTCGTGGTTCCGAGAGAGGAAGACGGCGGCGGAATGGTTCGACAATGTATACAGACAGACAGGGTGGTGCTGGCCTGCCCGGCCTGCTGGCGGTGGGAGGGGTGGGGGTAGTTCCGGCCACCGAGTCCGGCCCGGCCAGGCCCAGCGGACCTTGAAACACGACGGGAGGAGCGGCCTGGCCTGGGCGAGCCTTGGGCCTGGCTGGGCCTGGCTGGCTGGGGCTGGCCGCGCCTTACCTGGGTCTCGCCCAGGGCTGCCCGGGGCTCATCAAGTCACGTCAGGTTATTTTCATTATGTGGCATGAATCATTCATCCTTTCCTTCCTTTCATTACTGATTTCTCTGCCGGTTCACCGGGGCACAAGGCGGCGTGGCCGGGCGCGGCCCTGGCCGGGCTTGGGCAAGGCGAGCGCGGTCCTGTCCTGTCGCCGAGCTCGACATGGCGGCAACGCGGTCCCCGCCGGCCACCGCGGAGCCATGGCGCACAGTGGGCCTGAAGACCAACGCAGGCGGCCAAAATTCTAGGACACATTTTGAGCTCCAGAGTCGCTTAGTGGGATTCGAACCAAACGTGTGACCCCAGCAATGGATTGCTCTCGGAACGAGGAGTCCATTGGTGGGGTCACACGTTCGGTTCGAGTCCTGTTTACCGACTCTGGAGCTCAAAACGCGTCTACAGTTTTGGCCGCCTCCACCGGTCTTCTGGCCCACTGTGTGGCGGAGCCCGAGGATCCCTCAGCAGGAACGCACATAGAGTTGCATTCAAACGCGGATCGCGACGGAGAATTACGGAGGCACGACTAACAGACTCACGACGATCGTCGAGCACGGACTGCACGAGAAGAATACACAACAAGGGCGACACACTCACGTGCCGCTGCTGACGCGCTGACGGGGCGAGGTGTCGGAGAGGGCGCGGGCAGTCCATGATGGGCCCTGAGCGCGCCGCGCGCCGCGCCACCTCCCGGGCAGTGGTCGCGCCCAGCCTCGCACCCAGCCCAGACCCGGACTCTTTATGGCGGCCATTTACGCAGCATTGCCCCCTTTTTCTCGTTTTAGCCCCTCAGGGCCGCCGCCCCGCCCCGCCCGCGCCCGCCCGCCGCCCCATTTTAAGTTTTATTCCTCCTTGTATCCGATGCGATACGGAGCGGCACTGTCCCACCCAGCGGCGGGGCCGGTCTACCGGATTCAATTGTCCGTGAAATCAGTTGAGGTATTACCATCTCGAGGGCAGTGGGGAGCCGCACACACACACACACACACACACACACACACACACACACCACCACACCCCCCCCCCCACACACACACGCTCACACACCTCTGGAAAAACACTCACACGCGCACACATTCCGACGCACACGCCCCTACACTCCAGGTTGACAGTAAGTACGGGCGCCGCCGCGGGCTGCTCTCTGGCCCCCCTCTCTCTCTAGCCTGCCTTGCGCTCCTCTGTCAGTAAAAATGTCAAAATAACGCGCACGAGTTTTGCCACCTCCAGGCATTGGCTGCACTGTTCGGAAAAGACCCCGTCGTCCCGTTGGAGCGGAAGGGGATGTTTGTCGCTTGTTTTTCGGGGTTGCTTTTTCTAATTTGTGGTTCGCTCTCCGGTACATTAGCCCCGAACAGCATCTTGTTGTTGTTCGTTGTTCCTAGTGCAGCGCAGCGCCACTGCAGAGGGACACCCTGGAGAGACTTTAACCCCGCCGCCGCCGTGCCGCCGTGCCGCCGTCGCCCGGAGCCCGCCGAGCGATTCCGAAGAGCGTCGCTCTGTCTCTCTCGCACCCCTGGGGGCGCCCCGTGAGCGCGACAGGGACAGAGCGACGGAACGACTCTCCGGGCGGCATGCCGCGCCAGCGACTCCGGGGCCTGCACTGTGAAAAGCTGAACGACGTTGCGCCACACAACACGCGCACGCACAGTGGGCCAGAAGACCGGTAGAGGCGGAAAAAAAAACTCTAGATGCGTTTTGAGCCGCAGAGTCGTTAAGGAGGACTCGAACCGAGCGTGTGACCCCACCAATGGATTCCCCGTTCGGAGAGCGATCCATTGGTGGGGTCACACGTTCGGTTCGAGTCCCATTTAGCGACTCTGGAGCTCAAAACGCGTCTGGGATTTTGACCGCCTCCGCCGGTCTTCTGGCCCACTGTAGCACGGCGTGCTCCGCAAAACCCCGGTCTAAAGGTCACCCAAACCGTGTCGCTTCCCCGCCATGCACTGACCCAGACAAACATACACATGCAGTACGCTAGCACTCTAACAGGCCAAGATGCCCAAAGTGACTCTTTGTTAGACAAGTCGACGGCCGGGTTCGACGGCCACTCACCGGAGTCGGCCACGGCCTTGGCGCTGGGCGTGGCCCTGGTGCCGGGCGACAGCAGCACAGGCGCGCTGCGGTTGTCGGCGGGCGGCTCGCCGTGCAGCTTGGGCGCGGGCGAGAAGGAGGCCGCGCCGCCGCGGTACTCGTCGGTGTTGTCGAAGCCCTCGTAGTCGTTGTCCACGTCGTCGGGGCTCTCGTCCGCCTCGGGCCGGCCCTCGTACTCCTCCTTGAGGACCTTGCGCGGCACTGAGAGGAAGCGAAGAACCAAATTAAGTTTTTCTCTCACGCGCGCGCCGTTGTGCTCCACGGGACTGCACGTCCCCGTCTCGGTCCCCGTACTTACCGCACGTGTACACCACCTTGAGGTACTTCCGGGAGTCCGCGCGGCACGGCGACCCGAAAGTGTCCTTGTCGGCGGCGATGTTGCACGTCCGCTTGCCGTGGCAGATGTTCATGACGGTCTCCGTGGCGTAGCTGGTGAGGCAGGCTGCGAACAGAGACGCCGTCAAGCAGAGCGTCAAGCAGACTGGTTCCCAGGCCTCTCTCTCGCACTCGTGGGGCGTCCCGCACGAGAGCGAGACAGACAAGGGTGCCACCGGACCGGCTGGTCGCAGCGAGGGCTGGCCCCCACCTGCTGGCCGATTCCGGACAGTGGCGTTGTCGCTCTGTCTCTCTCCCCAACATGGGGCGTTCCGAGGAGCGAGCGAGACAAAACGCTTGTCGGGCTATTCGGAATCAATCTCTATTCCGACGGCGCACAGTGGGCCAGAAGACCGGCGGAGGCGGACAAAACTCTAGACGCGTTTTGAGCTCCAGAGTAGCCAAATTGGACGCGAACCGAACGTGTGACCCCACCTATGGATTCCTCGTTCGGAGAGCAATCGATTGATGAGGTTACACGCTCGGTTCGAGTCCCATTTAGAGACTCTGGACCTCAAAACGCGTCCAGAGTATTGTCCGCCTCCACTGGTCTTCTGGCCCACTGTGCGGCGCCCGGCCGACCGCCGCCGTGGCTTCGGTAAACAAGCACCTGGCCGATGATTGACGGCGACGTGGCGCCTTCGCGACGCCCGTCGACAGGCCCGGCGCGGCCCGGCGCGGCCCCTGGGGGGCAGTGCCGCGGAATCATACTTGGCGACGGCGCCACGACGGCGGCCTCGCGACGCTACTTGTTCACGGCGGCCCGGCCCAGGCCGAGCCCTGGCCGAGCCCTGGCCAGCCCCGGCCTGCGACTCCGCGGGGAAATCAGAGCCACCCTTGTTCTTGCCTCGCCTTGCTTCGCCTTGCTTCGCCCAACGGCGCGATAAATTATCAAAACATTGCCGTTCGAACCTTTCAAAGGAAGACGAAATTAAAATACGGCGTGGCCATGGCGTGGCCATCCTCGGACGCCGGCCGGAGCACAGTGGGCCAGAAGACCGGTGGAGGCGGACAAAACTCTAGACGCGTTTTGAGCTCCAGCGTCGCTAAATGGGACTCGAACCGAACGTGTGACCCCACCAATGGATTCCTCGTTCGGAGAGCAATCCATTGGTGGGGTCACACGTTCGGTTCGACTCGTGTTTAGCGACTTTGGAGCTCACATCGCGTCTAGAGTTTTGGCCGCCTCCACCGGTCTTCTGGCCCACTGTGCGGAGCATCTCTCATCGGCATTGGCGAGCGCGGCCTCGGCGGGCCGCCCGGCACCATCAAAGCAAAGGCCATGAAAACTAAGCAACAATAACTGGCCGTCCCGCCGCGTTGCGTTCCGCCGTTCTTGCGGGGTGGGGAAACGAAGCGGCCAGCTGGTGTTCGAACCCACAACCCTGGACTCGGGTACTGCATCGTTAGGAGGCGGCGCGGCCGACGCAAAACACGACAGCAGCGCTTAAACCAGGCAGATTTCCTCCTTGTTAAGTTTTTTTCCCCCAGCAGAACATTTTCTATTGTTCCTCAACAACCTGTCGGTGCACTTACTCTCTTCCGGGACTCTCTGCGGCTGCGGGCACTGGATGGACTCGTACTCGGTGCGGCCGTACGACGCGGAGTACACTGCGATCCTCGAGTTGGGGTTGCACTGCAGCTGCACTATCTCATTCTCGCAGGCCACCTTGGAGCGGAATTCGTCTGCAACAAAAAAACACGAGAATAATGGAGACAAATTAATTATTTTCATTTCGCGACGACGACGCAAAACCGAGGAGCGGGAAGTTGGCCGCCCTAAATGTCGGGGTGTAAAAGTTTCTGCTTTGTTAGTGCGCGCTAACGGCATCCAGGCCAGAGCAGCCCGCGGCGCCGCCCGACCATGTGATGACTGTTCTTGTCAAACTCCGGCGGTGCAATGATTGGTGGCAGCCTGCCCTCCAAGCACACGTTGGAGTCCGCGCGTGTACACTGATTTAAATAACACCCCCTCCGACGCCGCGCCCTGCCACGCCCAGCCACGCCCTGCCACGCCCTGCCACTCCCTGCTACGCCCTGCTACGCCCTGCCACGCCCTGCCACGCCCTGCCACGCCCTGCCACGCCCTGCCACGCCCTGCCACGCCCTGCCACGCCCTGCCACGCCCTGCCACGCCCTGCCACGCCCTGCCACGCCCTGCCACGCCCACGCGCAGAGCGACACACGCATTTTTGCGGCGGCAATACATCTACAATTCTGAACGGATGAAATGCAGCCAACGTACGTTTTATAGCGGCGGGCAGCAGGCGAAGTGAAATATGCCGCACCCGCACAGCAAGTATGTGAACGCATGCCAAAGGGTGTTCGACTTATGCAAATGCAGTCGAGTAAATCACACGAGTCGTTCCGACGCTCTCTCCGTCGCTCAGCGGCAACCTCAGGCCTGGGCAGGCCTCGGCAGGCCTTGGCAGTGCCTTGGCACGCGAGATGAATGCCTCCGTCTCGCTCTAATCCTCTGCGGAAACCGGCCATTTCCCGCACTAAAAGTAGTAAGCGTGTTTTTCCCGGAGAGGAGCAGCCTCCCCGGCTTAGGAGCAGAAACATGATGTTGACCTTGCCGCCGCATCGCCCTGCGTCGCTCTGCGTCGCTCCGCGTGCACTCCATGTACCGCGCGTTCCAGCCAAGAGGACATCGATCATCAATTCCAGATTCGCAGCGAAAAAGCGGCGGCCAGCTCGAGACGGCCGCCTGCGGCAATCGTGTCCTTCATCCATACATACATGGCCTACACTGGAGAGGGCCAAATCTGGGGGACGAAGGAACCAGTGTAGTCGCAGATGGCTCAGGGGCTTGATGACTGCCGGCCCTTGTGTCGTGGCGTGGTGGCCTTTGGGCGGGCCGGGGGGGGGGGACGCTAGCCACGGCCGAACACAGACTGTCCGCACTCTGATCTCGATACCCGGAGTGCTTCATTGTGTTCTAAAACAAAGCTGTGCCCCGGTCCGAGCTCCGCAGTGCTCCGCAGCGCGCCGCAGCGCCACAGACTGGCGGCTGGCGGCGTGGCGGCGTCCTCCAGCAACTCGCACCCCAGCGAGGAGGGCGGCACATCAAGTCGGGTCTGGCCGGGGCAACTCAATTAAGCGGCAAGGCGAGAGCGGTGCTTTGACAGCACGAGATTAGCCGCGCGTGTCCGGCCGGGACGGCCGGCCCCACCCGGACCCCACAAGGGGCCCATTGTATTTGTTTTGAATCAATTATTCCGAGTGTACCGGATTCGGTCCACATCGTACTCGGAGGCACGCGACAGTTCGAACTACATGGTCTTTCCGCGAACCGAGTCAACTAAGGGTGGTGCCGGGTGGTGCTGCGTAGATCGTACATGCTTCGATTCCTGCATGGCTTTACCGAGAGAACAGTGGACCGTCTTCGTGTTCCTGGAAAGGCACTGGGTGCTCCGGACTCGTGTCTCAGGACCCGTGGCCTCAAGGAGCCGTGACCGACCTCCAGGAGCCGTGACCGACCTCCAGGAGCCGTGACCTCCAGGAGCCGTGGCCTCCAGGAGCCGTGGCCTCCAGGAGCCGTGGCCTCCAGGAGCCGTGGCCTCCAGGAGCCCGTGACCTCAAGGAGCCGTGGCCCCTAGGAGCCCGTGGCAGCCCGTGGCCTCCAGGGCCGCGGAGTGGCCGGGGCTTGCTGCACGGTAAAAACGGAAGCTGGTTTTCCCAGGAGGCCCTAGGTGAAGGCATAGACGATTTCCAGGGAGTTCCTGGGAAGACCAGGAACAGTTTACCGTGTGGGGACAGCGCCACCTCGGCGACGGTTCGACGGCTACTCAATGAAAGCCCTCCTCTCGAAGCGGGTCCTGCTGAACCGAGGCGGTGTGCAGTGCTGCCGGTAAATGCAATCAAGTAGCGCCGCGAGCCTCCAGAGCGCTCCAGAGCACCCAAGAGACCGCGCGCTGAAAGAAGAGAAGGCTTTCCTCCGGTTGGACGGCAAGGACGTTGGTCTGCCCAGCAGCCGCACAGTCTCAAGGAGGTCCTTACCCTCGGCGGGGCTTCGCCAGGCTGCGCTGGGTAGGGGTGGGCACGCCGGGCGGCCGAGCGACCGAGCGAGCCCCCAGGCACAGTCATCCTTCCCACTCGATCCGCCATTCAGCGCCGGGCGGGGCGGCGCGGCGCGGGGCGGCTAGCCTCGGGCTACTCGCCGCGACCACGTCAAAAGACGCAACCCTTCCACCCCTCCCTCCCCACCACGGTCACTTTTAGCGTCCCTTCTCTGTCCCTCCCCAAAGTTTTACCGACGATAAAAAGAGGACTATAAAAACACTGCCCACCTCGGCGGGCCGGCGCGCACCTTCGCGCTTCAGGCGGGGCTGGGTGGGGCGGCGCACCTACTCACGCCCACGCCTAGGCCGCCGCACCACGTCGCCCCGCCCCGCCCCACCCCGCCCTCCAGACACACCCCACATCACCACCTGCATAAAGTATGGGCGGGATCACGTTCCGTTGGCGTGGCGTTCTGTGATATGATTTCGAGGCACGTGGCCGAACCACGCCACGCCACGCCACGCCACGGCAAGACAGCGGGCACGGCATGAACACAGCACCGTGCCAAGAGCCGGGGCAAATGGAAAAATCCCGACCCTTGTCGAAATTCTGCGCCCCCACCCAACAGGGTCCCGCCCCAACCACCTTCCGCGGTGCGCCGCTTGCGTGTTGTGCCCAGCACGGCCCAGCACAAGGTGTTCCGGGCGTTCTCCGGGCGTTCTCCGGGCGTTCCCCGGGCGTTCCCTCCCGCGCTGCACCGGCATGGCATGCAAAGACCATCGTTATTTCCGGTGGAAAGACCGAATTACACTCAACGACACCGCGGTCCATATTTTTCCCCGGCGGTGACAATCCAAAGAAAAAGAGATAGAGAGGGAGAGCCCCACTAAAACCGGCCAATCTGCTTCCACTACGCGGTCCAGAAAAAAAGAGGAGAACAACAGCAAAAAAAGAACATAAAAGTGGGGTCGCGGTATGATGCCATTCGGGTAAATTAGGTCCCATTCCTCGCACCGCACGGCCCGCAAAATAAAACTCTGATAAATATTCATGGCCGAAGGAAGCGATAACAACATCCAGAAATCACGTCACGGAAGAGGGGGCAAGTGGGGCTCGCCTGGCTGGGCCAAGCCCGCCTCGAGACGGGGCCCAGGGCCCAGGCTGGAGCTTGCTTCTCGTAAACCTTTTCGCTCAGCTTCCATTGTGGGGCGTCGATATGGCTATTACTTGCCAACGCCGAGCCGAGCCGAGCCGAGCCGAGCCGCTGAGCTGAGCCGGGCACAGCCGAACGGAGACGAGACGGGCACGTCTAGGTTCGCGTCGAGAACAATGTAACTCAGCAAAGATTAGCGGAGGTGGGCCAACTTTTCCCTCCAGCGTGCCTATGGGACGTGCTTTGCGAGCAAAGCGACACCCCTTCCCCCCACCCTCCACCCTTCTTCCCTTCCTTCTTCTTCTTGATAAAGGTAAGAGGGTGAGGGGGTGTGCTTTGATATAGGGAATGGAGCCCCTGTGAGACGGTAATAAGAGCGGACTGAGAGGGAACGAGAGGGAATGAGAGACAAAGAGAGGGAGAGGGGGAGAGAGAGAGAGAGAGAGAGAGAGAGAGAGAGAGAGAGAGAGAGAGAGAGAGAGAGAGAGAGGAAGGGGAAGGACGTACAAAGATGCAAAGCCTCTCTAGATTTAATCAACTGCCGCAACAAGTCCATAATACCCCCACCGCAACGCGCCACAACCCAGCGCGCGCAAAAATTTAAATTCTTGGATAAACAAAATAAAATGAAGCGATTTTTTAAATAAAAAATGATAAAAAGGGTCTTTCTGATCGGCCAGCCCGCTCGGTCCGTCGCAAGCCGTTGATGACCGGGTTCATAAAAAGAAGGAAGCGAAATTGTTTTATGAAGGTGAATCCTTAATAAGGCAGTGGGGTGGCCCAAGGGCTGGCCCAAGGAGCTGGTCCAAGAGCTGGGCCAAGGGCTAGCCCGGCTGGGCCAAGGGCTGGGCTCACGCCACGTACGTGGAGCTACACACTTAATAAGCGGCTCACTTTTGACGGGAAGAGCAAAGGGGGTAACTCTACTACTGAGGACCAAAACTCACTCTGCAAACTCAAGAGTGTACTCAGTACACTCTAGTTAGAGTGTGCTCATGAGTATACTCTAACTAGCGTGTACTCAGATGAGTACACTCTAACAAGGTAGGTTTACGCCAGACCGCGTCTTGTCGTAACAGGCTTCGCGATGTCTCGCTGCCTGTTCCTCCAATCCACGCCTGGCGTACCTACCTTGGCCTGCGGCGCTAGCCTGCCTGCGGCAGGCAATGGCTCGTCCGTTGTCGGTTATTTTTTAACTTGTTGAATGCTGGGGGGCTCCGCCCCCCCAGACCCCCCTACATTGTAAATAGAGTTGTTTTATCTACAGATAACACGATCTTGACCCTTGTCACTTTTTAACTTGTCGAGGCTGGGGGGCTCCGCCCCCCAGACCCCCCTTTCTCCAAGACAGAAGTGGTCTATCTGCAGAAATCTCTATTTATCGCCGTTTTTTAGGTGTTTTTCGCCTATAAAAACTGAACCAGTTGAGCTAGGATGGTGAAATTTCGCGTGTGCCGAGCCAAGGACATACCTAAGAAGTGTGCAAAATCTCACCGAGATCGGCCGAGCCGTTCAGGAGGAGTAGTGCGGACAGACAGACCGACAGACCGACAGACAGACAGACAGACAGACAGACAAAACTTTTCAACCCCACTGGAGTAACAGGCTTCGCTATCGCTCAGCCAACTAGCGTGTACTCAGATGAGTACACTCTAACTAGCGTGTACTCAAATGAGTACACACTTTCAGCTGCATAAATTGCCAGGCGTGCTTACTCTACAAACTCAAGTGTGTACATAGTACACTTCAACCTGAAGTGTACATTCATGAACACTTCAACCTGGAGTGTACATGCATGTACACTTCAACCTGGAGTGTACATGCATGTACACTTCAACCTGGAGTGTACTTGGCATGTACACTCCAGGTTGGCGTGTACTTGCCAAGTACATGCCAGGTGGCTCATACCTGCAGGAGCCAGCAACAGTGTACCTGAAGGTATGCGCCACCTGGCGTGTACTTGGCAAGTACACGCCAACCTGGAGTGTACATGCCAAGTACACTCCAGGTTGAAGTGTACATGCATGTACACTTCAGGTTGAAGTGTACTATGTACACACTTGAGTTTGTGGAGTAGGTGTGTACTAATCTGAGTACACGCTAGTTAGAGTGTACTCATCTGAGTACACGCTAGTTAGAGTGTACTCATCTGAGTACACGCTAGTTAGAGTGTACTCATCTGAGTACACGCTAGTTAGAGTGTACTCATCTGAGTACACGCTAGTTAGAGTGTACTCATCTGAGTACACGCTAGTTAGAGTGTACTCATCTGAGTACACGCTAGTTAGAGTGTACTCATCTGAGTACACGCTAGTTAGAGTGTACTCATCTGAGTACACGCTAGTTAGAGTGTACTCATCTGAGTACACGCTAGTTAGAGTGTACTCATCTGAGTACACGCTAGTTAGAGTGTACTCATGAGCACACTCTAACTAGAGTGCACACAAAATCTATGTGTGTACTCAGTACACACTTCTATGTGCGTGCTTACAAGCATGCACTTCTAGGTGTGTACTTGCCTAAGCATGCACCTGGAAGTGTGTACTTGAATGAGTACACACTTATAAGTGTGTACTTAGTGAGTACACACTTGCGAGGTGCATGCGTGGCATAGGGAAAACGCATGCACTTCTATGTGTGTACTCACTGAGTACACACTTATAAGTGTGTACTCATTCAAGTACACACTTCTAGGTGCGTGCTTAGGCAAGTACACACCTAGAAGTGCATGCTTGTAAGCACGCACCTAGAAGTGTGTACTGAGTACACACATAGATTTTGTGTGTGTACTGAGTACACTCTTGAGTTTGCAGAGCACCCTTCCCCTCCAAAGAAAGGAAAAGTACTAAAGATTCATGAGAGCGAACGTTCTAAATCGCGATTGAATCTTGCCGAAAAGCAGAGCTACAAACCACCGGCGTTAAATTATTTTGGTTTAAACGGCAATTACTTACATGGTCTGCATTTGTAGGCCACCTCCACCCACTTGCGCACCCCGGGACAAGGGTCGTTGCCGAAGGTCCGCGGCGCCGTCTGGAACTGGCAGAGACGCTTCTTCTGGCACGCCTCTACCACGGTCTGCAACAGAGAGTACTGCCCCCACGAGGACATGAGCAACACGAGCCATGAGCATGAGGCATGAGCGTGAGGCATGAGCGCCAGGCAACAGCAGCGACAGCACAGCGCTTTTAATCAGATTCATTTTCCATCCTCACTGAGTGTGTGTGCGTGTGAGTGTGTGAGTGTGTGTGTGTGTGTGTGTGTGTGTTGTGTGTGTGTTGTGTGTGTGTGTGTGTGAGGGGTGGGGGGGAAGAAACGAATGGCGCCCCACCTCCTTTCACCTTTTTGACCTTGATAATGAACTTTGTTCGTCAGAAAAATAGAAACTGACACAGACACACACACACACACACACACACACACACACACAGCAACACACAAACACACAGATTAACACGTCAAAAACATGAAACGACGTCGACATCACAGACGTCGGCGAAACTACATCAAAGCGGACGCCGAGTGCTTGGCGTGGCAGTCGAAGGGCCCCAGTCTTTTAAATTCGTCCTTTGGACGTTTTTCACACACCTGTTGCTCTCTGACTTACTTTCTAGGACAAGGAAAAGTGGCCGCGAGCAGGCTGTGCCGGAATCCAGCCGCTCGAAATGCGCTTAGTCTCTTCCGCGCGGCTGGTGCAGCCTGGGCTTTGATTGGGTTTGCTCGGTCTCTCTCGCACTCACGCGGCGTGCGGACGTGCTGCGGGGGTGCAAGAGAGACAGAGGAGGAAGCGCCGCGGCCGCTCCGAGACGGGCTGGTCCGTCTTTTCCTCCGGGGCGCCGTTGTCGAGGCCGTGGCCGGGCTGGCCGGGCCGCACTAGCGCCCCCAGGTGGCTCCCCCTAGCGGTGGGGTGGATAAGTCCCGCAGCCATCTGCAGATGAATAAGCCAGCAGCCGCCTCGCCTCGCCTGGGACCGGTGATGAGCCCCGGCCCCTTAAACGACCACGCCACGCTGGCCATATCCGGGACCGCCCCACAGTGGGCCAGAAGACCGGTGGAGGCGGCCAAAACTCTAGACGCGTTTTGAGCTCCAGAGTCGCTAAATGGGACTCCAACTGAACGTGTGACCCCACCAATGGATTGCTCTTCGAACGAGGAATCCATTGATGGGGTCACACGCTCGGTTCGAGTCCAATTTAGCGACTCAGGAGCTCAAAACGCGTCTAGAGTTTTGTCCGCCTCCACCCGGTCTTCTGGCCCACTGTGCGCCCCCTCCTGCTTCTGCTCCTGCTCTGCTCCCAGCGCTGCCGGCAGCAGGCCCAGCCAGCGGGCCCAGCCAGTAGGCCCCGACGGCCGCCGTCACGGGCTGTTAACGCGCAGCGCAGCGACGCGCCTCGCCGACGCCGCCGATTGGCTGGCCTGGATGGGCCCGGTCCCCGCGGGGCAGGCCGGGGCGGGGCAGGCCATGGTGGGCAGGCGAGCAGCCGTGAGTCCTTAATGGCAATGGTAATGGTGAGCGTAGGCAGGTCGACGGCACGCCTGCGTGGCGGGACAGCCTACCCTGGACTCGACAGGCGGCGGACGGGACATGCCGCAAGAGTGCAGCACAGTTTGTTGTGGTACGCCCCCCCCCCCCCCCCCCCCGCCCCCCCCCCCCGCCCGCCCCCCCCCCCGCCCCCGCCCCGCCCCGCCCCGCCCCGCCCCGCCCCGCCCCGCCCCGCCCCCCCCCGCCCCGCCCCGCCCCGCCCGTCGTCCTGGCCGTCCACCTCCCGGGAGGGTGGCGCGACGCCGGAAGTCGGGGCCGTGACAACCACTTTGCGTTCTGGGACGACTCGGACCGGAAACGGAGATGGCTTTGTTGGCGAGAGTGAGAGAGAGGGGAGGGTCATTGCAAGGCGGCGGGCGGAGCCTGGGCAGGACTGGGCAGGGCCGCGACCGGGGTGAACTGGGACGGACCTCACGGGTAGACGGACCGGCAGGCCGGCAGGGCGACCCGGGGACCGTCCGTAAGCTAGGGAGCGAGTCCCGGGAAAACCCACCTCCACGTTTACAGGGTCCGTTTCGTGAGGTTTTCCCGTTTCCGGGTCAAGCGAGATCAGGTTGAACTCCTGAGGACCTCAAGGACAAATTCGAACTCGCGTGCTCGCATGCCGTTTTTCAGCGAGGGACCGGGCTCGGGGCTGATCCCTCTCTCTCTCTCTCTCTCTCTCTCTTCCTCTTCCCCCTTTTCTCTCTCCCCTCTCCCCTCTGTTCTGCAAGGGTGCGAGAGAGACAGAGACGGGGCGCTGCTCCCAGTGCGGCCGGTTAGATGAGCCCGGCGTACAGGAGGGCGAGCGAAAGTGAGCGCGACTCGCCTTCTTTGTGTCGCCAAGGCCGCGGGGGGCTTGGCCGGGGGGCGCCGCTACGCTGCTAGCCAAAGGCGAGGCAGCGCGATGTCCGCGAGAGAGAAAATGGAAAATCGCGCGGCGGTTAGGCAGATTCGGTGGCCGCCTTGGGCCGCCCCGCCTAGGGCCGCCCTGGGCGCGGATGAAAAATAGCAATTTTAACGCGCAAGTGCCGCGCCTTTGCAGCGCGGCTGCAGGGACCGGGGGGGGGGGGGGGGGGAAGGGGCGGCGGGGTAGTGAATATAGCCGTCTCGGACGCGGATATTATTTGTTGCCGGGACGAGGCGGCGAACCCGCAGCCCGAGCACAAAGCCAAGCATTGTGTGCTAGCTCCACGCCGCCCCGCCCCCCCCCCCCCCGCCCCCCCCCCCCCGCCCCACCCCGCCCCGCCCCGCCCCGCCCCTTTCAGGTTTACGCGCGTCGCGGCCGCCGCGGCCTTGCGCCTGTCCCACGAGAGCCCGCTGCTTGAGCGGTCGCCTCCTGCGCGTTGTTTTCTCGTTTCCCGGCCGACACGCGGATAATGTAAATGACAATGTGTACGGCGCGGAAAAGCCGACTGGGACAAGTGGAGAAACACTCGGGCGAGTGCGAAAAACAGGACGAAACACCCGACGACGCCGGGCGGAGGAAAAGGGGGGGGGGGGGAAAAAAAGAGGAGAAGACACGTGTTAGCTTGCGCGAGTTGGAGCAACAGTTTCCTCCAGGTAAAATTAGCCGAGAAAGTTCGGCCCGTTGCAACGCGTTGTGGGCGGAACGAGGCGGAACGAGAAGTGCGAGAGAGAAAGACAATGGGGAGGGCAAATGTGACGTGGGGGAAAAAGGCGCGAGAAGGCCACATGCATTATCGTGACGCTCAGGCAAGTGCGCGCGCCCGTGTGTGTGTGTGTGTGTGTGTGTGTAAATTGCGTGTCTCTGAGTGTGAGTGCGTGTGTGTGCCCCATTGTAATGAGCCACATAAATGCAATACAACATGATGCCATTAATTATCCTCCGCCTTGTCCATGACGCGCGGTCCCCGCTTCGGGTCGCGCTTCGGGTCGCGCTTCGGGTCGCTCGGGTCCCCCTCGGGCCTCGTCGGGCCCCTTCCTGCTTTCACGCATCGCGACTCGCGACACTTTCCATACTGCAGCGTGATGTATTGCGCGCGACGAGTGCGCTCCGCGAGGTCGCAGCGCCGTTGCCTGCAGAGCTGCTTCTCTCTCGCACTCACGGAGCGTTCCCTGGGGGCGAGAGAGAGAGAGAGAGAGAGGGAGAGAGAGAGAGAGAGAGAGAGAGAGAGAGGGAAAGGGGGGGGGTACGGGAAAAAAAGGGAAAGCGGGGTGGGGGGAAGAGAGATGGGGGGGATCGCGGGTTTTGGAAAGGAGGAGAGTACCCCTGTAACCACAGCCACGGGGGCCGGTGCCCGGCCTGCCTGGCTTTTTCGGCGCCGTGCCGTGCCGTGATGGTGCAGAAATTGAAAAGGGCGAGGCCGGGCCGGGGGAGGCGCTGGAGAGCAGGCCCGAACCAGCCCGAACTTGATCCCGATGCAAATCCAAACTCCCTTCGACCTTCGAGATGGTCGCGCTCGTTCTCGAGTGGCGTGGGGTGGCGTGGCGGGGGTGGCGTTTGGGGGGTGGCGGGGGGGGTGGCGTCGGCTGGGCCCTGTTTGGGCGTTGCGCCTGCTCCCCCTGCCTTGGGGGGGGGGGGGGGTTTGGGGGGGGTGGTGGGGGTGTGCTGGGGCGGGGGGCGTGGCCCCGGGGTGGCCCGGGTTTGGGCCCCCCAGGGGGGCGCGGGCGTTTCGTCCCGGGCCAAAAAAACCTTTGCGGCGGTGGGTGCGGTGCGGTGGCCCCGGTTCGTCTCCCCCTCTCTGCTCCGGGGGGCCGCCCCGGAAGCCCCATGATGAGAGCGGGGGGAGACCACGGGGGGGGGGTGCGGATTTTGTGTGGTTTTTCGGGCGGGTGAAAAATTGCGGCGGCAGCGCCGCGGGCTTTTCCGACGCCGCGGGGGGGGGTGGGCGGGTGGCCG